CCATCATAATTTTTATTAATTTTATTATTTTTTTCAATTATCGTTAAGCATATTAAAATAAAAATTATAATATTTTTTATTTAAAATATTAATAATAATGTTTATTGTTGTATTTATTTTTGCAGCTTTTCTTGTTCTGCCCGAAGTGATGTTTTGATTTTTAATGGACAGCATAAACACAAAACTACGAGTACAACGGGCAAGAACTGTTTGAGAGTGCTTCCGGCGGATATACTTTTTCGGTAATGGCAATAATGGACACTGCCAAACAACGAATAACAAGTGCACTGCCAAAATTATAATTAAAACTTTTTTACCATAAAAAACTTTAGTTTTAATGAGCTTAGCTCAGATACTTATATTGCTGCAACTAAAAAACAATTAATGCGAGGCATGTTTAAAACTGAGAAAATGTCTGTTGGTAAGTCTTAAATATAATATTAAGTAAATTATTTTATATAAAAAAAAATTTTAATGCTTTTAAATGAGTTAAATATAAATTAAAATGAAATTATTTTGTAATAATTTATTATCACAACTTCTAATAAAATACTATGTGTATACCAATAGCTTCATATGTACAATTAGAATCTGCAATTATAAAAATAATATATAGGACGAAAGTTTAATATATTTCAGTGGATAGTGTATGCAATATTTCAAAGAAATATATCTTCTAATGTTCAATTTAATGTTTTTTAGAATTACAGAAAAAAAGTTGATTTGTTTACAAATAGCACACACATCGAATTTATGCAAACTATCTGCAGTGTAAGATTGTATGTAGTGCAGTTGAACGACCTATTTATGGAACTATAAACTGCACAAAAATTTGCTCATAAAAAGAAAAATTCATATATATAAAGAAAAATATAAATGTTCACATATGTCAATGAACCAAAACTCACACTTAATTTCTTTAAATTAAATATAATCAATGCAATTATGAATCAAGACTTGCATTCATGAATGATACCAATTTGTAATAAATTATTCAAAAAAATAATCTAATCGAACGATTTAATAATATTTTTTAATATACTTCAGAGTACCAGGTTTTGTTTTATATAGTTTACTATTATTATTAAAATACTATTAATATTGTTATACTATAATTATGTTAATAATTAATAAAGCTCAAGTGGGTTTGAATAGGTCATACTCTGCGCAGACTAATCAGTGACACCACAAGAATGTCACAAGAATGAACCCAAAGAAGGGGTCGTTATTCAAAGAAGGATTTGACGGGCGTACACCTAGAGAAGATACATAAGTATCACATATGCAAAAAAATTGGAGAACATTAAAACTATTGGCTAATAACTATTCTGAATGCAAAATTTTGTTGCGGTCCTATGCTCCTCTTAAGAGGTAAAGGAATTTATATGTATACCTATATATATATATATATATATATATATATAATTATTTTAGCAAAGCATAAAATTATTTATTTAGTATGTTTGGTGAATTTGGTGAAATAAGATTAAAAATTTAGAAATGTTCTTTTGGTATGAAAAACTCCTTTCACGATCGTATCTTGTTCAACATTATGTAGCAACGTTATATTAGGGAATATCACATCATAAAATAATTTCGTAACTTATCTCGTTTATTCAATACGTCTTTATTTCTTATTCCAATAATTGAATGATCTCCGCATATTCCTAAGCTTTCCTTTGGTGTATTATTTTGACAAAAAAAAAGACCTAAAATTTAGAAAAAGGTTCAACATTTCTCTACCGCTTCATATAATTTACCGTCGTCATAATAAAATCTGGAACTTATTACTATAAGTTTGATTTGCATTAAAAAGATTTCTTATTTCAACTTCACAATTCAATTTAGTGCCAAGGAAGACTGTGTGCTACAACCAGCTTTAAATACAGAGTTTCTTGTCGATGTAAAATAGCAATGAATTGAAATTCTTTACTTTTTACACCAATTTCCTCACAAATAATATATATCTGATAATAATAATATTATCTCTCCGAAGAGAATACCCAGGATATTTGATTTGACATATGTTATAATTTTTAAATTTTGTAAAAGCTTTTTTTACTTTTTTTAAGTAATGAATTTATTTAAATATTTAATTAAACATAATATTAATTCGGCTCTATGTTCTTCGTAGGAGTTAAAGGAATCAATATATATACATAATAATAATTAATGTTTTAATTTTATTTATTTATTTATTTAGTCCTTACTAAATTGATTTCAGAGTTTTATAATACAGAATTTGAATTTTGGATTGATCCAATTATCCATCATCAGTGATCTTCGGAATTATTGATTGGTGTCATTTTTCTTATAAATTTTCTGAACTGGAACTATCAGGAAGTAGAGCCTGTCAAATTTGAACTGTGAACTTAATACATAAAACAATTGTATATTACATTTGTGCTACTCAAAGTTTAAGCTTCGTCCATTTTTGTTGTTTATTGGAAAATAACAATTACACTCATCTGCAGGCTTGAGAGATTGTAGTAATTCCCCGATGGACTATATTTATACATACCTATGCGTATTTATATTGAATACGTTATGACTGTTTACTAAGTTCAAAAATTTTTTTAAACTCCTGAAATTATCTGAAAGTGTCACCAGCTGTGAATTTCTGATTAAGGACCTACTGAGTAAAATATTTTTATAAGAAACGCATAAACCGCAGCTATATGTATTCATTTAATTATTGTTTTCTTAAAATTTAACAGTCTTTTAAAAAAAAAATTATAATCACTTTTCTATTAATAGCTTATCATAGGTCATAAAAACTTCTTCTGTTTTCTAAAGTATCGTATATTACCCCTATACTATGTAATATATTATATTTAATTGATTAATAATGTCATCATAGTCATAATCAATAAAAAGTTATCAGAATTCCATTATTTAAATAACAATCCATATGTAATAAATATTTTTAATCTTCTTATAATTTTTAAATCCAAATCCATATTATATAATTTATTATACGAAAATAATTAAAAAAGTAAGCACCAATAAGGGTCTAATTATTATGAAGCACCCTTAAAAAATTCCTTTACTCAAACAAATAAGAACACTTCTTAGATCTCTTCAATTAAAATGAAATAAGAAATGAAACTTAGAAATAATCAATAAATTCATATCACAATTAAGTGCCTAATATAGCAAAATACAAGATACTCATATGTTGAAGATAGGAATATAGTCGTAACGAAGAAACAAATCATTGTAATTATGCCTCAATAATTTTAATATAATTTTAAGTGACATTTGACGCTGTTGTATAGTAAAGCTGTTAGGGAGGGTAACTCCATGCGGGCGGCGAGATTGTACAAGCACAAGTGAAACCAAGACAAATTGATGGACGACCTCAATGTCACAGCAAAAGATATAGATTAAGATGCCCGTACAGTTGCATATGTGCGATGCGAGACGCAGCCACTTAGCGATTGTTATTGCATGTTTGTTGTTGCTTTACTCCACTTAGAATTAAATGAAGATACAATAACTTCTCTTTGACATATTAGACAAACTTTTTAATATTTTCTCACCGTATTAATAATGTTGTGATTTAAATATAGCTCAGAGTGAAATTGCTGGGAAAATGTATTTGCATTTTCTTTTAAGACACAAAACTAAAATTATTTTGCAGAAGTTTTGTTACTTCATTTTTATTTAAAAATCAATTACTGTAGCATTTTTAAATATAAATACAAAATTTCCCCCTTTTTGTTGAACTCATGTTGGTATCATGTAAAATGCTTGTTTCGGCACACCCACTTTCATACTACATACCATTTTACGAAGACTGCATCAAGTTCCAGTTCTTTCCTTTTCCATTTCTAAATGGGCTGCACCGTACAGAATTTTTGTACTAATCGTTCTCGCTACGTATTATTTATAAAAGAAGTGGGCAAAATATTTCGGATAACTCACGTTTTTCAGAAGATAAATTGTTTTACGTTCTGGGAAATTGCATATGTTTTCATTATTTTGCATTTGAACTACGTGTTTCATTAGTAATGAAATGGAGAATTAATGTAATAAATGTAATTACATGGAATTTTCTGTATTTCACTTGACCTTCGACGGATTTATACGGTGTCAGTTTACGGTCACTTTGCTTGTAAGTGGGTGTTTCGATGTCAAAGGTCTGTAAAAATACGATTGAATTTTTAATTAAGTTATACTCATAAATATTTAGGAATACAAAAAATGGAGTTTTTTCACTTGTTGGAGTTTAGTAATTATAATTTAATTTTTTATTTCTCTGTAGTATTTAAGGGTTGTAACTATGGCAGTATAGAACATAAAAGATGGCATGGTAGAGGTACATTTTATTGGCGTCGTTTATTGATAGTACAAACTAAGGGAAATATATTTAATTAAAATTAAAAATTGATTAAAGGAAACATCTTAAACTATGTTATGGAATACTATTATTGCTGGAATTAACCTGTTTCAAGATTTAAAATTATTCCTTTTTATGATATATAACAAATCAATTTCTTTTTTGTTTGGAATATATTATTTTTTTTATTATTCTAGTTTATTTTAAAAAACTTGCCAAACGTTTTTAAAAATCTGAAACAATTGAGTGTCATAAGACTTTGCATATATAATTTTTGTATACTAAGCATATAACACATCTGCTAATAAGCGTATAGGATGACACACTGTCAACACCACTAATAAAAACTCCATGAAAAATCAAAAAAAAACAAATTTGAAATTTTTAAAATCTGTCAAAGTTTAATAATTTTTAAATTATTACTTCTTTATGTTAATTTTTTCTTGCAGAAAATGACGCGTATCATGGTAAAAAGAAACTATTTAACAGTCAAAAGGGTTGGAATAGAAATGAAAAGAAAACAGCAAAAATTTTCGCTAATTTATTGAAATTTGTCTGACCATACAATGCTGTTTCGAGTATTGTCAAGTACTTATCATCAGTGGTCTTAGGAAATATTCGAATTTCTTAATTAGTTTATAGTCCATATATAATTTGTTTGGACTGCAAGTGCCAGGCTTAGAGCTCTTGCCTGTTAAATTAGAAGCCATGACTTATCATGTATTTTCACAAGTAACCAAAACTGTACAAACACTTCTTTAGTTACACCTATTAATTTTAGTAAGGCCACTTTTTATATTTTCGGAACAATAAATTCAAAGCAGCTTCATGTTTAAATTTGTCATTAACTTTTAATTTTAACTTTCATTTTAGGCCGAAATTACAAATATCGCCAAAATGATACAAAACCTATGTACAATCAAATCGGCCGAAAAATATAGTTAATAGGTACATGTTTGATATACATATATTTCACTTATCTTAAATATCCAAGATATCAACACGAAATCATAGTCTATTGGGTCTAATGTTGTTATAATATCTAACAAGCTAATTTGACGAATTTAACTCTATATTTTTTCTGTTGATTTAGTGATCAGAACACGTTACTACATTATTATTATTTGAATGTTATTGATAGCAAATATATTTCAAACTGATCAACTATCTGTAGTAGATGCATTATCAACAAGAAACATAATTATAATGAAGTGTAAGTGTAAGTGTTTTCATTATTGTATGAAGTCATCAGTTCTCAAAGAACGTTACCATTAATCTATCCCATCAAAAGGTTTACCACATCTGCAAGACACACCAAGTTCTTCACTTTTAAACGATCCTGGAAACAAAGCGCTGCATGGAAAATTTAACTATTGATTTATTGAAATCTTATAGAAGCTGTAAACTAGTTAACTATATTTTTTGGTTTGGGAAACATCTAAATAATACATTTTGGTAATATATATCATGTAGACTTTCACTTAGAAAACCCAAAAATTAAATTTTATTTAATTTATAATATCATATTTAATACTAAAATATAATTTTTAGTTCAGAACAAAAAAATGCAACAGATTTGTATTAATTTTACAATGAATGCAAAAACTGAATTTATACGGAATGAAAATTTAAATATTTAAAAAAAAAACGTGCAAATTCTTGTAAATTTATTAGAGCGAAAAGTGTTTAAAAAAAAATAAAGAAGAAATTTGATAGTCAAATAAATCTTATTTTCATTTTTTTGTCTCCCTCCATACATAAAACATAATGAAAATCACAAAATCCATCGAATGGAAATAGAAGTACCGAAAAATAAGTCTTACACTCAGTACGAAATGAAATAATTGTTCTATAATTAATTACCACTAAAATCCCATTCAAAAATTAAATCGCAACACTTGCCAAAATATTAGTATTCACTTTCAAAAATATTGAAAACGTACATATTATACAGAAAATAATTCAATTAAATATATTTATATCCATCTTTAATAAAATATCAAAAATATATTTTAATTAGACTTTTGCTTGCGATTGTTATCGTACCAGTTAAAAAGCTGGTAATTTGCTTTTGTTTACTAATATTTTTGACTTGAGTATAATGTATTCAAAATAGACATTTTAATTGTCAGATAGACATAGCATAGACAGATATACAGACAGACTGACATATAAAATTCGCAAATTGTCAACATACATTTGGATGCAGTCGGCATACAACTGAATAAAAAAGTGGTACTTTATTTATTCGCTCCCCATCCATTTAGCTCGCTTTATATACCTAAAATGGCACAGCTGCATGCTAAGCAAAATGGTTTTTAATATAT